TAAAATTTATCTAAAAAAATTTAAGTTGCATAAAAATCCTCTTTGTTAAACGTGCATAATTAGAAACTCTTATTATTTGCACAAGTATCATTTGAGCTTTTGATGAAAAATATCATTCTCTAAACGTTTTTAATGTGTTTACAATCGAGCGTCTTCTAGAAGCGCGATTTACAATTAATATTTAATTTGCTAAATATCAACAAGCTTGTTTATTAGAGTGGATGAATCTTGAAAATTAAATATTTACATCTTAAAAAAAGTCTTACATGTGAATATTTCAGAAATATCCAACTTTAGGATTTTATAGAATATCTTATAACTTTCGTTTCGTTGATACTGATAACATTGAATTTCCGTCATCCCTTTCCATTCAGCACTTCTCTGATCGATCCCGGATAAACCGCGTTCTCGCGAGGAATCCATAACTCTCTATGACGAACAATCGTGACATAAGGCATCCCCGGAGAAACTGCCAACGCATGCAGTTATCGCATATCTACCGTGTGACCCAGATAAAAAGATGACACAGAAGGATATGGTCAGGTGGGGCTTTTGTCTGCCTTTGCAGAAGTCAAGAAGTCGTCTCATCAGAATACTCAACGAATGAGACACATACTCTCGAGAACCTAGTTAGTCAAGATGCATCCCGCTTCCCCTCCAAGTAATCCAGCGAAATTAGAATAATTCCTAAGCTGGAAAGATGCAGAATGAGAATACAATGCATTTTGCCTAGTTACGACACATACGAACTTTGCGAATTCTGATAATTTTCATGCTACTTTAATTTTAAAATGTTATAATTTTATTATCTTTTATTGTCTTTTTCTGAATGAATTCCTCTGTCTTCCTAATTCTTCCTAATTATCTTTTACAGGATAAATATTCGTCCGTAGACATCGTTTTGCTGTTTATGTCTCTTTACGTCGGAGGAGTCGAGACTGTCTTCGGTCGTCGTGAATTATATCCACGAAACTGTCAAATTAAATTATGCTGTCGTCCTTTTCCAAGTATATCGATAAATAATCAAGTGATCGGTGACACTGGCAGTGTATCACTGGCGCGCATTGATTTAGATTATGGGCCAGAATTCCGCGGAGCTATCTGTGGCCAGCCCAATCCCGTCCATTTACTATTCAAACAATGGCAGTCGATATACTGGAATGTGCGCGCAGACAGGAATTCCAATAATTGCACCTACCGCGTCACGTACACATATGTACGTACGCGACGTGTGTATGTACGTCGAATCGTTATCGTTAGAACGAAAGAAAACAGAAGGCACTTTCGCATAATCAAGGATGAGTGCAATATCCAACGGTATTAATTAAACGATCTCTATTTTCTTTTTCTTTATACAGGTTTTTTCGCGTTGTGGCGCAAGTGCATGCTAGGGAGCCTATTTTTAGACCAATCGTCATCATTACGTGTTTATGTAACGATGAATCATACATAGAATGCAGGTGCAGCAAAGAATAACATGCGAAATACTGATCTCTTTGTAGAGAACGTGAAGGTAAAGAAGCCGATTGATCTGCCCATACCGAAGAGCGTGGACGATGATCTCGACGAGGACGAAGACGATATCGATGACGAAGATGACTTGGACGGCGACGCTGAGGATGAAGAAAATTCTGACGATCTTGAAGACGTACTTAGCAATCAACCTGAGGAAGACGAAAGCGAGGAGGAGTATGACGACCTTGATGATTACGACACGACTACCAGGTAGTTATAAATAATACAAACATCTTTGAGTTAAATAGTACAAACATTCTCTCTGCATCTATTTTTTTTAATAAATGTCAATAAAATTTCATTGAATCTTATTTGTTTTTCTTTTATTAAAAAGAATTTTTTTTAATTAATTAAAAATCTAAAATGCAGTTGAAATTAGTTAATGTAAGATTTAGCGTATATCCTAAATATAGAAGTTAAATATTTGTTGTAAACTTGTTAATGAAAATCAGTCGACCATCGACGACGATCTCAACAACGGAGAAAGCCAAACAGGATGCCACGGCGATGCCGCTGCCAGTTAGCACGAGTACGCAGCAGCCTTCCCAACCGCAAGGCACTCCAGATCCTTATCTGACGCACTTCGATCCGCGGTCCGAACACCAGAGTTACAAACAGGCTCAAATGCGACTTGAAGAAGTACACAAGGAGAAAGTTACGAAAGTAAGTTCGATTTAATTGCAATGAAAGAAATGGTAAGATCACGTTAGCGCGTATCGTATCGTATCGTATATCTTCACCTATTTAGGGTACCATATCTTTACTTATTTAGGAGAAAGCAAAAGTATGACTGTGTCACATCGAGTTGAGGTACTAACATTTGTATCTAAGACAAAAAAAGAGAAAGCTTTTGAAAGACAAGTATTATGGCGCGGGACATTGGTGTCGAAATCTTTGTGCTACAACGCTTTCAGGTGATGAAGGATTGGAGTGACCTCGAGGAGAGATATCAGGATATCAGAGCCCATGATCCTGTCGCCGCGGATGCTTTTAAACGCTGGATGACGGCGCGATTCCAGGAAACGGTTGCCGCGCTCGAGGAAAGCGGCGCGGCGGAAAAGCATCAGTTAAGCGCGATGCACCAGCAGAGAGTGCAGGTACGTGGAAACGCGTGATATGATACGAATCGTCCTTTTTGAATGTCACCCAACTTTGAAACGTTACGAATTCCAACAAAAAGCGAACGTAAATCAGTTTTTTGAATTGGAGTTTTACATTAGTTTCTAAATGATTTAAAAAGCATTAAAAAACTTTCGCCCCAATAACCATGAGCGCTTTTATTAATTACTTTTTTTTTTATTAATAATATGTAGCAATTTGATTTTTTTTTTCTTTATAAGAGAAGAAATAATTCATAAAAACATTTAAAAAACGAGAATTTATCTACGTAATAATGTCAATAATTTTATTTTTTTCGAGTGACGAATCCACTATTCATCAAATGAATTCTGTTCAATAATAATCTTTCTCTCATAGGAGGCGGTTAAGCAGAGAAACGAGGAAGCGATGTCGTGCTACACTGCGGCTCTTAACGAAACGCCGCCAAATGTTAGTTTCATGTATAATATATTTTTACACAAAGAATACTTCTTGTCTTTCTGCCTAATCGATCGATTTATACGTTCTTTAGATGCACCGTATTCAAAAATGTCTACAAAAGCTGCTTAGAGCTCTTCACAAAGACAGGCACCACACAATAGCCCATTACAAGCATCTCCTTGACAGCAGCTTGGAACAGGCGCAACGAGAGAAACCAGCCACTCTGGAGCATCTTGCGGAAATTGACAGGATTACCAATCAGAGCCTCTTAATGTTAGAAAGGTAATGTATATGTCAAATGTACGTTTTTATTTTTAATATCTTAAATACGCCGGGTCACGCGATATGTTGCACACAAAGCGATAACGCTACAACCGCGAAGAGTTAGAGGCTCATTTTTTCTTTTCTTATGTTCAGATATCCAGACTTAAGCGCGAAGATTGGCCGTCTCATGGACGATTACGTTTTGGCCCTCAGGAGTAAAGATGAAACTCCGGGATTGCTGCTGGCGATGACGCGCGAAGCAGAGGCAGCTATTCTAGACAAGTATCAGGCCGATGTCACCAGCAAACAGCAAGGTATGTATAGCAAATTTGTCAAGAAAATTTGCACAAACGAGCATACATTACCTCATTTTGTACTTTATAGAAAAAGAGCATCAGAAACAGCTCGAACGAGCACGCAAGGAACAACGTAAGGCAGAACGTGGCGAACTACGCACAGAACAAGAACAACACGAGGAAAACGACTCAGCAATCGATACTAAGGATATTCCTCAGCAATCAGAGCAACCCGCCGCGGTTGCCGCTATGCATAATGAGGGAGTAGTTAGAGCAGCTCACAGCATGACTCACGATGTCTCTCACTCTGAGCCAGTAAGAAAATTTACTCTAACTATAAAACTTATTATTTATAAGTCATCATACAAGATTTTACTGTTTTCTTATTATTTAGTACTTATGAAATAAATTTATTATTTTATTATCAAATTCCTATCACACATTGCAACAAAAATAAAAAAGAAAAATATCTTTTTATGTATTTAATTTTGCAGGGCTATTCTGTAAGGCGAGAAGTATATCATAGAGAAAGTCGATCCGTTTACTTCACACTCGCGTTCGCTGGCATAGCACTCATGGCGGCTGCAGTTGTTGGCGTCGCAGTATTTAAGAGGCGCAGTGCGAGAAGCCCTCATAGCCAGGTATATTATTATATTGAAAGACACATTAGTAATCATCAAGCAATCTCTGTAATATTATCTGCATTAATTAGTGGTAATTGTACAGTGATTGTATGCGATACTTCAATTTGTGATCTAAACGAAAATGCATGTAATTGAAAAAGATTAATGTGTTATAATAATGCACTAATTGACACGCTAATTAATAATGCAACATGATA